TTATGTCTTAAAAATTCTCTTTAACTTAAACTACTTTATAATATCAAAATATTATACAATTTAAAAGACTTTCTGACTCGGAACTTCATATATTCAGTAAACTGTAGTTCATATCATTCAATTAACATTGCAAAGGTAAAAGAGAAAAATAGAGCTTAAATTATGCATTCTTTTTCCAAATTCTATGGTGACTTAATCATAATAATGAAACGCATATAAATTGTTTATAAATCTAACAAACAAAGAGAAATTGCGAATATGAAACCTTAACCAGCCTAAAATGTTGTTGATTAAGGTAGATTTTAGCAGTGGGTAAATACGAAATTTTAAAATATATTCATCTGTATTTATGTATATATTTAAATGCAAATAAATGTATGAATAGAAGTCTTGTCAATTGCATAAATTGCTGGCTGCTGAGATTTGAAAATCTTTTAAGCCGAGCACTGTTAAAATCTTTGAGAAATTGTCTTAAGTGCATGTGTAGGGACATAAATTAGTAAAAACACACAGCCATACACATGCATGTACACAAAAACATACATACACACACACACATCGTATATACTCTTTAAAGCACTTGACCAGCTGGCGGCGTTTGGAGGCAAAGCCAAGGCAAATAAGCGAAAGCTTAAAACCAACAACAACAAAAACAACGACGACGACGAAGCGAGACGCTAGCAGGTTTTAACGCCAGCTACAAGACAGGCTAAAGCCCAAGTGAATTTGGCAGCACGAAGACGACATGAGAGAACGGCTCCACAGCCAGCCATTTTGTTCGCTTGCTGGCAGCTTACTCGCTTACAGTGTGTGTGTATTTATCTCGCTCTCTCTCTCTCTCTCTCTCTCTCTCGCTCTCCCCCTCAATCTTGTATACTGGCTCTTTGGTATGCTGCGATTATGCAACAAGGTGGCATGCGTGTCCAGTTCCAAATGCCATTTTTTGGCAATATGAATTTTTGAACAACATTCGCAGCAAGCTCAGCATTTCCTTAATGCTGCTATACTGAAGATAGACAAAAAGCAGAGCGAGCGAATGAGCAGAGAAGAGCATAGTGAAGAGCAAAGAGTGCTAAGCCATACAAGCAGTCGCATGCACACATACAAATGCATGAAAGCATACACACATACATGCATACATACAATTACAAAAATAGCAACAGCAACTGAAGCTGAAGCAGGCTGCAGAAAACCTAATCCCTGCTTTAGCGCACATTTCACGGCTGCCTTTTTGGTTTCTATCATATTTAAGCTGCTCCTCTCCTCTCTCTCATTCTGTCTCTCCCTCTGTCAGCTGTCTGTACCGATCCCGATTCGCCTACGTACGCAACTGTGCGCGGGTGTATGTGTGTGTGTGTGTGTAAGCACACTCTCACAGTTTTAGACGCACTCGATAGCGGTCACAGCTGGGACCATGTGGCTTTTACCTGCGTCACTCGCATGTAAATTAAAATTCCTTTTTATTTCCCTTTCAGTCATTACATTTCTTGTGTCGCTCCTTTAAGTATGCCACAATACCCAAACTCTATAAATGCACACAGATTCTATTGTGTTGCTTATTTTCATTGATTCGAAAGTGCCTGGAAGCCATATTGATTGATTATTAAAAAAAAAAAATTAAATAAATAAAATGCCAAAAACAAATAAGAAACCCCAATAGTCAATTAGCATTCTGGTAGTGAGGTTAGCTCGCACTTATTTTGGCATTTGTGGCTGGGCAAACGTCATTAAAAAAAACAAACGAATTGCTTGCCGGACTTGTGTGTGGCAAAATCAATTTTAACGCGCAACTGTTTCCCGTATTGTGATGGGAGTCGATCAACTTGACGGCCAGACACCAAATTTAACAGCTTTAAGGTCATTTTACAGTTAAACAATGTCACAACAGTACATATCATAACAACAATAACGCACTGGCAGCCAAGTGCTGTATGCCCATGTATGTATGTATGCGTGTGTATGTGACAACATATTTATGTATATTTTTAGTACACGTACAAATTCGCAACACTGGACGCAGACAATATAGCAGAGAGGGAGATGAGAGCATGGAATGAGAGCGAGCGAAAGAGAGAGCTATTATAAGATAGCAAGCGAGTGAGCGAAAAAAGCTGAAAAAGCTTTGAGACCACTCCCCGAAAAGTTCAGGCGACGGCGCAACGTCGACGCACACAAAACAACCAATCCCAGGCATAAATATACAAAAAAAAAACATACACACACAAACAAAACGAAAAACTGAATCGCTCACATATACACGCATACAAGCGCGCGCTTTTATACAGAGACAGATAGAGGCAAAAGCAATGTGTTACAATGCAATTTCCCCGCCAAAGCGAACCGTGTTGTTGTTTTTGTTGGTGTAGTTGATGGGAGACCAACCCAAACTCAATTGTTCAGGCCAAAAGACAAAAAGGCAAGCTTGGAAAACTGGCACAGCCAAAATATGAGCAACAACAAAAACAACAATAACACACACAGAGACACACACATATATATGTATATACAGATAACTAACAGCACAGGGTGCAGCAGCAGTTTCCAATTGGAAGTGCAGTCTGATTTCTAAGGGTTGGGCTATTGGCGTGATTATGTCAGCAACAGCAGCAACAACAGCAACACAGTGAACGTGGGTTTGTGTGTGTGTGTGCCACCTTCACCCACCACCATCAACAACATATGACTGCAAAGCAAAGCAGCGGTTCGTCAGTTGCTTTCCAAGCGCTGACGCCGCCGCACTTGCTCCACGAGCGCTCGGTCGTCATTCGTGCGCCGCATTTCAAACTGTAAACTTTGGTAACGGTAAAGCCGTTGTTGTTACATCGCCTTTTCGTCGTTGTCGTCGTCGTCGTCGTCGTCGTCATCGTCGCCGTCGCCGTCGGCCAATGGCCATGCGCCATCCTCACACGGAATGTGTTAAAAACCTAATGCCAAAAATGTGACCATTGCATTGAATGCTGTTGAATGTGTAAACGATGAACGTGCATTTGTATGTGTGTGCGTGCGTAGTTTCTTAAGCAAAGCGTCCTTCAAATATACGTGCATATATATGTATAGAAGCACGATCGCTCTTAGCCATCATCTAGCCCATCCTACATCGCCCAGGCATGGAGCTTTTGAAGCTAATGATGTTCAAAAGTGACTTTCTGTCCAATGGCAAATGTGACGATCGCGTACCGCCCATTAACCTAAGTCAATTGCCCGAGTTTCTATTGTGTAAGTTTTCTAAAACAAAACAACAACGATAACGGTATCAATTAAAGTCACAAATGTAAAAGGGAAAAATAAAATATTCCAAAACTTTTTGTACCTTTATAATAAATTTTCCTTCAACTTCCAAATGCAACAGAAAAATATTCTGTGAAAATTACTCAATAAACAAAAATCAAGAATAGAGAAAATTAAAGGAAACTGTTTTCCAAATATATACTAAGTGTTTCTAAATACATTTTAACTGCTTTAATTGATCATTTGATAAGCATTAAATCGTTACAAATTGACTTAAGGGAAATAATCCAATCAACCAAAGCAACATAGAATGTTCAAAAATTAGCTCTATTTAGTAAATATTTTATATATTGCAAAACACTTATCGGTCTATTTTGATTAGTTCGACACTATTTTCTATAACCATATAACCAAATATTTAGTTCATTTCAAATTACTCAAATTTTTTAATAATCCAAGAGAGAATTATTTATCCAATTTAGGATATATGAATTTACAATATTAAGAAAGAACTAGCTGATAGTATTCATATTATCATATTGTAAACAAATCATACAGTATTTATTTTTAAATTTAATAAAATAATTCTGATGATATCGATGTCCCTATGGAAATTATAAAAGTTGAGATTTAACCCTTTAATGATAGAAATTCTGCAGATTTATTTGCAGTCGATTTTTCTATTATTGGGTGCAATGTTTTGTTAAGTAGTTTAGAGCTGAGTTGTATAAATAATACAATTTCGCTTTAACAAAATAATATATTAAATTCAGTGATTTCGAGCTCTAGAAATAAAACAAATCACATATAATAAATCGTTACCAAGAAGAATCCTATAAGGTGTAAGGCCTTAATTTCCTCTGATAGACACCCATATGCTTGATTGTATATGGTGAATAGATGGAAGTCCTCTTTAGATTAATTAACAAAGATTAGATGGAGTGCTATCCCCTTAAGATGAGTTCTCGAAGTGCAGTCAAAAACTGTCCAAGAATCCAAAAGCAGAATAAACACACTGTCGCCATTTAAAATTTCAATAGAAATTAATATTTTCGTATTACTAATTTCGACGAGTGCTATGTTGATGAAAATAAATTGTAAATTTTGTCAATTTTATACAATAAATATTGTGCTATTTATGAGTATGAGAACATTAAAGTAAATATAAGAAAGAAGATCTAAAGGAATGATAAATAAAGCGGTTCGTTCACATAAAAATATTTTATTCAAGGTTCGAGGTTCCTTGTGAAGGAATTCCAAACACTAATTTAGAATAATTTAGAAAAAATAGCTAACTAACTTAAATTGCTGTATTATTATTTGTAAGTAATTAAGTTAATATTTTAATAGTCAAATCATTGGACTAAGATATAATTACTTATCTCTCCTTCGTTCCGTTAAAAGTCCACTTTTGATCGAGAAAAAGAAGCGCCTACGACCCGGCCCCGACACTTATCCCATTTACATTTGTTTTTCATAATGACAGTTTTTAAATAGACGACAAGTCCAGATTCAAATTACAAACAAATAGCTCAATTAAAATTCATTTCGAATTGATTTACGAGAGAAACTAGCACGAGAGAAGTTAATAGAGAATTTTCCAAAAATATAAACAAAACCAAATAAATGGAAATGCAAATCGGTAAATCGAAAAGGCGAAAAGGCGAAACACTAACGAGCCTGCGACCACAATTTAGAATATATACACCTATCATCGATCGAGATACACTATAGACAGATAATATATGATTTCAATTGATATTCATCCACAGCAACGATACCGAAATGTGGCGGCTGCCACGAGCTGATCCTGGATCGCTTTATACTGAAGGTGCTGGAGAGGACTTGGCATGCGAAGTGTTTGCAGTGCAGCGAGTGCCACGCCCAGCTGAACGACAAGTGTTTCGCCCGGAACGGTCAGCTGTTCTGCAAGGAGGACTTCTTCAAGTAAGTAAATTTCTCAAACGGCTGTCGCATCGAGGCCGTCGATGTTTGTTGACCGGTTTAATGAAAATCTCCCGTTGCCCCGTTGCCAATGTTCGGGTCGAACAGACGTTATGGTACGAAGTGTTCCGCTTGTGATATGGGCATACCGCCCACCCAGGTGGTGCGTCGCGCCCAGGACAACGTCTATCATCTGCAGTGCTTCCTGTGCGCCATGTGCTCGCGCACCCTCAACACGGGCGACGAGTTCTATCTGATGGAGGATCGCAAGCTCATCTGCAAGCGCGACTACGAGGAGGCCAAGGCGAAGGGTACGTTCATTCATTCTCTGCCTCACATGCGACGGGTTACTTTACAGTTAGCTCTTGTGCAGGTCTCTACTTGGACGGCTCGCTGGATGGGGATCAGCCCAATAAGCGGCCACGCACCACAATCACAGCCAAGCAGCTGGAGACACTGAAAACCGCATACAATAACAGTCCGAAACCCGCCCGACATGTGAGAGAGCAACTGTCGCAGGACACGGGCCTGGACATGCGAGTGGTGCAAGTGTGGTTTCAGAACAGGTGGGCTAGATGGTGGGCTGGTAGGTCCAAGAACCAGACCTTACTCACTCGCCATTTTGTCCGTTTTTCAGGCGCGCCAAGGAGAAGCGACTGAAAAAGGATGCAGGACGCACGCGCTGGAGCCAATACTTCCGCTCCATGAAGGGCAACTGCTCGCCGCGCACTGACAAATTCCTCGACAAGGATGAACTGAAAGTGGACTACGACAGCTTCAGTCATCATGGTACATAGCCCACACTAAGCAAAATCGCAATTATTTAATTTATTTGGATTTCCTTTCAGATCTTAGCAACGACAGCTACAGCACCGTCAATTTGGGCCTGGACGAGGGCGCCTCGCCGCACAGCATACGCGGCTCCTATATGCATGGCAGCTCCAGTCCCTCGCAGTATCCGCCGAGCAGTCGCTCGCCCCCAGTTCCGGGCCAAAGTCATACGTTTGGGTCCTATCCGGACAATATTGTCTATACAAATATCGGTAAGCATCTATCTAAAGGTAGAGATAAGTCAAATAATTAGTAGTTAGATAAATAGACAGAAGAGGTAGATTGAGTGGATAACTGCAAATGATTCTTATATCAATAGGCATAGACAGCGAAATAAAATTATATCGATATAAATTTATAGATATACAGAACCTGGGATATATAGGTATTACGTAAATTATGTACACCACACATAGAGACATATATAATTGAAATTCATATAAAACAATATCTACATTTTCATTTGTATATATGTATCCTAAGATATCTAATTGGTTATTAGTTGTCACTGATTTCTGGCATCTCCTTCTGCTCCTTTTTCAGATCATGCAGTTGGTGCTAATTTGCACGCAAGTAAATCGCATCATCGCCTGCACAGTAGCAACAATGTATCGGATCTGAGCAACGATTCCAGTCCCGATCAGGGCTATCCTGATTTTCCGCCTAGTCCCGACTCCTGGCTGGGCGACTCGGGCAGCACCAATAATAATATCAGCAACAATAATAATAATAATACTAGCAACAACAACAATAGCAGCAGCAATGCGAATAGCACTACCAGCAACAACAACAACCATAGTAGTGGGTCGACGTCCAATGCGAATGCCGCCGCCAACCCTCCCGCAACGCCTGGCGTACATTACTGATACTCAAAAATCCTTTTGCGTTACTTTGAAATGCAGTCGCGAAGTCTGCTGCTCGCCGCAGCCCAACAACAACAACAGCAGCAGCAGCAGCAGTGACAACAACAGCAAAGCATACTTCGCAGCAGCAGCGCTAGCGACGCCATTTTGAAAGCTCGCCTGTAGCTTGACAACGGTTAACAGTGCTGAGATACTGACTAATAGTAGGCTAACAGCGTTGGGCGCCAGAGTAACAACTGAAAAGCTTTATAGTTAACAGCGTGAGCTTTTGTTTCTTCGCTGACTGCATTTACGCATATGCACTACTTTTTTTTACTTTTACTAACGTAACACAATTTGCTCAAGTTTCCGTATTCCATTGAGTTTTTATATATGGAAGATAACGAACATTCGTATATGTATCAATGTTCGATGCTTTAAAACAAACAGGCTTAAATAATAATGAGTGTGTTGATTACATCCACTTCCTTGACCGCTTTTGTTTGTACTTTGAACTTTGATATTTTAGTGTAATGTAAATATTGTATATTTGTGTATAGTAAACAAGAAGAACTACATTTTAAATTAAACTAAGTCTGTATAGGGTCATACAAAGATTGGGAGACAGTGCACAACACTTATTAAGCTGAGCTCCCAAAACAAGTTATTTATTGCTTTATATAGGAATACATGAATTGCATAGGAGAAATATCAATTACGAAAAAGTGATGTCGTATATACATACATACATATATCTAAAAACAAATAATATAAACAGAAAATAATATACAAAAACAAAAAATTTAAAAACGAAAAACAAAAAAAAAAAAAACATGAAAAAGATTTCAAGCAAATAGAAATTTCAGCAAAATGCAAACTACGTAAAACAAATAACGAATTTTTAAATTTATTGTGTATTACAATAAGTTTAAAAAATTCAGAAAAATGCGATAAATTAATTACTATTTGACATGTAAGAATAAATGATACAACAATTGTTAAATATTTCGTCTTTTCATATTTTTCTCCCCATAATAGTTGACTTTGAAAGTAATTAAGATTTAGGAATCGTGCTGGCTTATGTCTTCGCCTTTTAATTCCATTTGCAAACTTTACAGCAATTAATTAATAGTTCTTTTTCTTTTTCTTATGATAGATAAAGATAAACCCTTTAAATGCATTATTCCCTCCAACAAATATCCCATTTTATTTCAAACTCCAAAAATTTCCTTCGACCGTTACACTTCATTCACATTCCTTTTTTGCTCATAAACGTACTTTCCTATTCTATTTCAAAGTCATGACTCAAATCAATGATCGTTGCCTGCAGATTTTTTCTTAAGACTGCATCTCTCTCGCTCTGCTCTCACTCTCTTTCTTTCCTTCTCTCTCTCTCCCTATATCACTGTCATACACTCCTTCTACTATTTCATTCATGCCAATTCTGTTCAACAAATATATCCCATTAGCATTACTTAGCGCCCTCTCTTCTCTTTTAGCTTTCTTTGAACTGCACTGCTCTCCGTTCATCTCTCTATCGTACGCTCCTTCTGCTATTTGATTCATGGAGAGCGCTCCGCGCCGCCTTGCTGATGATACATCTGTTCGGAAGCTCTGCCGTTCTGCCGTTGTGCTTTGGTGGCCTGTCTTCTGTTGTTCTCAGTCTCTTTTCTAACTTTCGCGCAACGACATTGACTATCGAGAGAGCTTTTTGCTGCGCAGGGCGCCTTAACTTACTTAACTTATTTAGTTGATTGCAATTATATAAAAATGCTTAAATAATGTTTTGCCAACTCAATTTTGCAGTTAATAAAAACTACCATAACATTACGGTGCGTGAGACAATTCAATTTCTATAAAAAGCTACCCAAGCCCTCTTTCCAATTTTGTTTTTATTGTTCGTGAGCGCGTATGCGTATTTCTCTCTATCTGTGTGCGTGTGCTTGTATGTGTGACAGAAAATGTGCTGCCAAATCGAAACTCAAATGTCGTAAAATATTCTATTTTTATTTTACAGTAAACTACATATAACAAGCGCAGCCAGAGTTCGTTGTTGTTGTTGTTTTGCTGTGTGTGAGATGCAGATGTGTAATATGTTTTTGTTTTTGTTGCGACGCCAAATTGCATTTGCGGCCGATACGCCGCTCGATCCTTGAACACGACATATCGGATACAACGGCCACAGCCACAGCCACAGTCAAAAGAACTTCCTGTTTTTTAAGTCTTAACCAACTACTAGGGAGACGCATCCGCTCCGTGCGTTTACCAATAATGCAAATTCAATGTATGCCAATATTTCAAGTAATTTTCGTGCTCTCAACAATTGTCGCAGTCACAGGTAACACGGCAAAAGCGTTGCCACATCAGTGCGAAATGCAGTGCAGCTGTTTATTTATGACTCTCCCACTCTCTCTCGCTCTCTCTTCCTCCTTTTTGGCACTCTCTTCTGCAAGCAGATTGTTGTTCGAGCCGGATTTTACTGTTGCGCCAGCAAACACTGCAAATTGAGGAGCATGTCGTCCAATTGGTGAACCAATTGGAGCTACAGCAGCAACTCAATCTAGATGGGCAGCCCTCTGCAACGAATATATTCGCCGATACAGCGCAAATGCTACAAGTGTCATCGGCTCTGGATATTGACGGCGAATTGGCAACAATTGCGACAACGGAGCGCGACAGCAACACAGGCATAGAACCCTGGTTCCATGACGAAGAAACAACTACGACAACARCAACAAAAACAACCATGCCTATCACGACCACGAGGTCAACAGCAATATCATCCACAACAGTTTCAGCAACTGTAAATACAATGGCCACGGGCGAGCCGCCGCCCGATGAGAGCACGCCCCAACTGGCATCAGACGCCGCAATTTCTGAAGCGAGCGAAACGCTGCAAACGACGACAATGATAACGACGACGACGACGAAGAAAACAGATGCAACAACACCAGAAACAGAAACTGCAACAGCAGGAACAGCAGCAGCAACAACAACAACAGCAACAATGACAACAGCCAGCACGGAAGACTTGAGCTTTAAGCTGCCCTGCAGCAATACCTATATGAAGTACTTTTGTCTTAACGGCGGGAATTGCTTTCGCTGGGCAGAGAGCGAAAACGGCTTTAGCTATTGCGTGTGCGCTGTTGGCTTCGTGGGCGAACGCTGCGACTCAAAGACTGAAAACGGTAAGTAGCATCAATAAAACGTTTGGCTACATTGATACATGTATAAATAATATATATTTATTTATTATGCTTTGCCATTGCAGGAGTATATGTACCGTTGCGTCCCAGCACACCCGAGCCCCAGCTGAAGACGGCGCACATCGTTTTCTCTTTCCCCATGCTTATGTTGCTCTCCACGATTTACGTGCTCTTCGGCGCGGTGTTTATGCTGCGCAATGTGTCCGCGCAACGGCGAAAGCAACAACAGTTGCACTTGCACAAGCAGCGCTTTTTCGTCAGCTGTTAAGAGAGCTGTTAAGACAGAAACGGCCGGGCTGCCAACTTGTTTATCGCTCTTTCAATTTTGTTTTTGTGGTTCGTTAAGAGAACCAACAACGCGATTTAAATTTTGGAAACGGATTTTTGTTTCACCACTTTGCTATGAATGCCACTTGAAGCATTTTTCCTTTATCTTCTACGATTCATTCTTTCTTTACGTTGCGCAACGCTTTAATTTATTTAATTACATTATAATTGTTTTCGTAAATCCTTTGTATTTAGTTGCAAAAAAAGAGCGCTCTTTTCTTTAGAAGCTTCAATTTAAGCTTAGTAGATTTTGTTTTGTAGTAACATTTTGTTACGCTATTTAGTATGTAGCTAATATTTAAACTTTAGCGTTTATCACTGTTATTGATAATTATTTTTTTTTCTTTCTTTTGTAACACTTTGTTACGCAACACAAAAAATCGAACAAATATTGTAAATTAACAAATACTTTTTGTAATGCATTAAAAACTTCGGGACTCAAAAGTTTATAAAACTTTAAATCTGACTTGTTTACTTTTTACTCTTTATATATAAATATCGATTTGTATATATGTATGAGTGTATAAATATTCATAAGAAGCTGCTCTTGCTCTTCGAACCATATATATGTATCTATATCCTTCAATATCAAACCTCAAGTTCAGTTTAGTGGAGCACACTTGCGTTTTATATTTTATAATATATATTTATCCAATATTTCGTCCAAAAATTCTTTACAAATTTCTTAGAACTTACAGTTAAATGTATAGTAGAAATTATTCAAAAAATTCTTAATTTCATCATTTCATGGATGATTTCTGTTTCGTTTCACTTTTTATCATGATCATCAATATGATAATGGTATGTATGCGTGTATGTGTATGTGTGTGTGAGAGAGAGTATGTGTAAAAGGGTGGTGAGTGTGTGTGTTCTCTTATAAATGCGTGTTTTTAATGGATTATACGAATATACGTGATTTGTGGTGCATCAGCATCAAAATTCAATTGGACCAACACTTGAAAACCGTTTCCTCGTCTATTGGTGGGCGATGGAGTTGGAGGTGGAGACGTGTGTGTGTATGTGTGTTTGTTAGTGTATTAGTGTAGTCGTATATTCTGTATGTTTCATTTGCTCTTGAATATATGCTCATGTATGTAATCTTGGATTAGGGATATGAAATTCGTACAAAAATGATTAAAATATGTAAATGTTAAAAGTGTATTTTTGCTTTTTTGTTTTTTTTTTTTTGCTCTCGTGTTGTATCTTTTAATTGTGGTTTTACGTTGCGTTGTTTTCTTATTTGATTTATCGTGTTTTTTTTTTTTCTTATTTTTCTTTTTGTTTGTTTTTTTTTTTTTTTTAATAATATGTAATATATAATAATTATTAGTATTATTCGCATGTCACGGCCAGGTCCTGTGTTGTAACATCTGCCGCGGCGTTCTTCTCCTTCAGATCCTTAGCGATATCCTAAAAAGAACGAATATTTATTAATATTTGGCTATTTATATATGTATACATATATGTTTATACGAAACAATTGTTTGATTCAATATAGATTTGGGATATGAACACAAGGAGGAAGAAAAAGCAACTYAAAGCACAACAACAACAATTTATGGATTAAATGGCAATGAGCCTTGCCAAAGATTAAACAACGAAAATAATGATAGAAAAAAAAAATTAATGTATCGAAAAAATAATCGAAATTAAAATAAAGTACGGATTGTAAAGTCTGCGTTTAAATGCGTTAACTGCGGCCAAACAGAGTTTGTTAGAGATGGGATAACTGGAATTAGGCTGGGAATTCTGTGCATGGAAGTTTGTGCGTGTATTCGTGTGTGTGTTTGTTTGGTGCGTGTGTGTGCGTTGTTTATTTGTGTGCAGGAAGTTTGAGGATTTGGGTAGATATATAGTTAGGCGTCAGTTTGAGTTTATGTTTTGTTAATATTGAAGTGCATGTAGAAACAACAGCACTGTTTACGTTTCACAAATTCGCGCCTATTGATTTTAGTAACATTCCATTTTACATTCCATTCACATATACATTCACAAGTTCATGCAGTTAGTTACTGGCATAGCGAGCATAACAGGGCCTCTTAGCATTAGCTTTAACAGACTACACTGCAGAATGAGCTGCTGCAGCTTAACAGAAGCAGTCAGGTACATTAACATTTACAAACAACAGAGTTTACTGCTTGCTACATAAACAACGACAACTGAGATGCATGGGAGAAGCACAGAAAGAGCAGAGAGCAGATAGCAGTGAGCAATGGAAAAATAACAGTAATAG